CTCAAAAATACTTGATGATTTTGCATTTCGAAAATGTAAATTGATACTTTGAGAAGAATGTCAGACCAGATGCGGGACCAGATGGCGGAAGTTTCGAACGATATTTTTTTCCATAAAAGTGTGAAGTTCAAATCGTGTCATGACCAGACACAGTCCACAGTGGATGAAGGGTTATATAGATGTATGTTGTTGTATGGGACTTCCAACGGGGAGGGTCGTTGCCCGGCCCCCCCACTCAGGTTTCGAAATGACCGCATGCGTGTTGCCAAAATGTCCTTTTCGTAACAAAAGAAAAAGGTCGTCCCGTATTGACTTTACACACCGGACTTTTGCTGAAAAGGGGGGGATGCTGAAAAAGGCTCGTATACAAAAGAAAAAGGTCGAGCCGTATTGACTTTACACACCGGACTTTTGCTGAAAAGGGGGGGGGGGGGGGGTCGGTTGGAACACGCATATGCGTACCCTAAATAACACTGAGTGGGGGGGGGGGGGGGCCGGGGGTCGTTGACGAAGCTGTTCATGATGACCATGGCCCGACTGGAGATGCCGGTATCTGGATGAACCTGCTTGAGGTTAAAGAGAAGGATGAGTTCTGGGGGATGTGAACAGTAATTTGTTATTATGCAAGTGTGGAAGAACATCAGAGAAAAATGTTCCCTGAAAAGCATGGCTCTTCAAATGCCTTCATATTCTAAATATGACATGTAACAGCTTAAAAATGTAGGCCTCATTTTTATGCCACATGTTTGTTTAGTCACATATAGGCCTACATCTGTCCTATGGCATTTTTCAATTGATGTGCACGTCACTATTTGAAATGTGGGAACATGACAATGACGCATTACGTAATCGGAACACGATTTCTACAAACAATTCAATAGGGTATTGAAATTGCTATTGAATTTATTGTTTTGAAAGTCTATGCGAACGTTTTGTACTCCGTTTATCAATAATATTCAAGTTTAGGTACAGGTATTTTTTTGTTTTTGTAAACGAAATTATAGAAAAAATAAAGAAGATAAAGGCGAAGCAAATCCTACATTAAACCCGATGTTGACTGTCTCTACAAAGAAACCGCTGACTATATCAAAGAACGTATTTTTGTTTCCCGTGAAACGATGTTTTTCATTAAAACACGAATTATAGGAAACCTGCCAAGTGCCAACCCGTCTTCCTGAAATGACCGCCTCAAAAATCTTGAAATGAAGTAGCATTGAACTTTTCTATTTTGTCCAAGGTCACAGTTTTAAGAGTCAATCACCACGCACTTTGTGAGCATATAATTTCTTTCTTTTTCGTTTTCTTTGCTGCTGTTATTTTGAAATAATTTGAAGATAACTTCGACAAGGTAAATACATCATGTTCCATCATATTTCAAGCAGATGGATCACACCTGTGTGACTGTATATTGTTCGATATTAACCTTAAATGCGTGTGAAAATCATGAGTCGCTATTAATGTAACCGGCTTAATTGCTATCATATGGTCAATCATAGCCAAATTGCATCATTATGAGCTAGGGTCAACTGACGTGTGTCTGTAACTGTGATGCCGCAAATTTAAAAAGGGCAAAATTAATGAATTGCGTGAAAATATGAAACGATCCCTGCCTCATTTGGCATTTTTGACAGAAAGAAAAGGAGCTACAACCTATTCACAGTTAATATTTCCTTGTGGAAAGAGGGAAAATAGAAATGTCTTCAAATTTTCGTGGATTATTTCAATGTAACAATATAATGACAGATCATTTAGAACAAGCACAGAACAAACATTTATTTCCTAGCCATTTTCTGTTTTGGGGACGTTTTCTCACCACATTAAAATCAAATCACGGTATAACATATACTTGCTTTTTATGCTCAAGTAAGGGTGTATACACAGGGGTCAACTTAAGGCAGGGGTGGGGAGGGGCTTGGGCTACAGCCCCCTCCCCCAGGAATAGTGAAAATATCAATAACTTTCACCCTGTAATATTTCGGGTAGTGAGGAGACCAAATATGTTATATTTTTTGTTCTAAAATCTTAATTTGATGAGGAAATAATATTTTTGCCGTAACAAAGTGACATATTTTGCTCGATCGCTTCGCTTGTGCTCGCTGGTTGTATGGTCTAAAGCTTTGTATGTTTTCGCCTTTCATGATTAAAATTAGCAGGACAAATTCTCAGCAGATGGTAGTATTTTTACCGCGTGTCATGGTCAGACTTTCAGACCGTCTGACCCCCGGGTGTTGGCGGGAGGAGGTGGAGGAGGCTAGCCAACATCTGGTGGTGATCAGGAAATGACCCTCCCATCTTCCTATAATGAACTTCCCCTCTCATAAATACTCACAAACATATGTGATTAATTAAAACATACGAAGTGTTGAATGCCAAGTATTATAAGTCTGTTTAATTCATGCTCATGTGATTGATTGGCAGTGTGTCAAATTAAATTTTGTCTTCAACCCTTGCCCCCTTGCCATACTCCCTGCCCACTGTACGTCGTGTGGGGGGGGGGGGGGGGGGGGGTCTCATTTTTCAAAATGTTCGTTTTTCCGAAGGTTTTTTATTCCGAAAAATTAAGTAGAATTCTACTCCATTTTCTGAAGTTTAACCATCGGATTGGTAAGCTCGGCTCTATTTCAGAATGTTCTTTTTTCTGAAGTTTTTTTTTTTTATTTCGGAAAATTAAGTAGCATTTTACTCCATTTTCTTAATTTTTAACCTTCGGATTGGTAAGCTCTGCTCTATTTCGGAATCTCGAACTAAAGTTCACTTTTGAAATTTTGAATCAACCATTTCCGACCATTCGGAAATATAATTATGAACCTTCAGGGGAAAACAACATGTAACCTGCCTTTAATCGTCCTTCAGTGTTTTAGCAGGGCAACCGTTGAAACCAGTGTCTTTCAATAATTCTGTCGGTTTTTCTATCTTCCAATTAACAAAAATTAGGATAAGTATGAAAATGATTTTAAGCAAATTAGCGATAGCAGGACTAGCAAAACATTTGTCGGTATCTTCCAGCTTTTTGATCACTGTTTATTCTAAATTGTTTTGTTCTCTTCTTGAAAATGTGTCGTAATAAACTGTAATGTACTGTTATATAAATCAGTACTCATATATCGGCCTACATGTATTCATATCCATCATGACATGTTTGGATTTTACAAATTTATGATGCTAGATAACTTTTAATTCAAGTCTGCTTGATTTTTCATCAACATACTGATTAATAGAACCGATCCGTTGAAAATTTCGATGACATATTTCGGCGCTAAATGATGAGATGACTAAATTTATCTGCCTGTTCTCATTTCTTTTTCAACCATTTTTTCTTTTCTTACAGGTACTTTCACAAAGTGTGGAACAAGAAGACGGTAAGTGATAAAAAAATAATGACATCAAAGATAATTATATAGAAAACTCATATGATAATGTAATAATGAATTTCAAAAACTTGTGTTTTAATTTGAACCGTTATATGGTGATATTACTTCCTGATTTGAATTGTATAAATGCTTTCCATTCTATTCTTCTTCTTGTTCTCTTTTAAGTTCTCCCTTTTATTTCCTCTTCTGAAATTTAAGTTCTCCCTTTTATTTCCTCTTCTGAAATATAAGTTCATCCGTGTATGTTACATTTAAATTATTTTTCTATATTTCCTTTTTTGCCATTTATTCTTTTGTTGATGTTTTTACAAATTTCAATTCTACGTCATCTTTTTCGTAACTGTCATCATTAAACATTCTCCTCATTTGTCCTTGATTTTCTACTATTTTTCCTCTTATCTTCCTCCTTTCCCTCCATTCCCACCTCCTCATCATTCTTGTTCTTCTTATTCTTCTTCCATCCCTCCTCTCCTCCTCCTCGTTCTTTTCTTCTTCTTCTTTTTCTTCTTGTTCTTCTTCATCTTCTTCTTCTTCTTCTCCTTACCCTTCTCCTTCTCTGTGTTCTTCTTTGATGATAGTTTTGAAAATAACACGTAAACATTTTTTAAAAATCATATTTTGCATCTTGCAAGTAAATGTTTGAAACTCGTATAATTTAATATCAGATCTCATATCGAAAGAAACAGATGTGCGTTGTCCAAAGAAATATTCGGGAATTAGGTCAACGGATGAACTATAAACTTGACTTATGACCTCAAGAGATGGCCACCAAGGGATGTCCACCATGGGATGTGCACGATGCCATCTGATGGAAGACACATGTGCTCCAGCGTGATATAGAACGCGATGACAATGGAGATGACAGTGGTCATAGTTGTTGTTAATGATGATGAAGATGATGGTGATGACGAAGTTTATGGTGGTAGTGATGATGATGATAATGATGATGTTGATGATGGTAGTGATGATGATCATGATGGTTTTATGATCATTTTGGTAGTGGAGGTGGTGGCGGTGGTGATGATGATGCTGCTGCTGCTGCTGCTGATGATGATGATGGTAGTGATGATGATATTGATGGCTTTTATTATAATCGTGATAGTGGTGGTAGTGGTGATGATGATGCTGCTGATAATGATGTTGTTTATTGTAGTGGTGGTGGCGGCGGTGGTGATGATGATGCTGCTGATGATGGTAATGAAGATATTGTTAATGCTATACTGCTGAAGACGATGGTCAGCCGTAATTAACAATATGATTAACCATGAAACAGCGGGTATGAAACTGCATAGCATTGCTCACTGATGGCAGCATTAGAAAAGCGGGAATACTCAATTTACATTAGGATATTTCAAAACTTATTTTATCAGCGAATTATGAGAAATCATATAAAAAAGACCCTATATTATTCCTGGAGCGCACAACGAAGGCATCATGGAACCCCAGCGTAACCCCAGACTGAGAAAACACAGATGCGAAGACCTATTGGTGTACAAAATGATCCCGAGAGAGGGGTGAGAGAGAGGGACGGAAAGGAGTCAGTAATTTGAAAGGGAACATCTTCTCAGCTCACGGAATGCGCGCTTTGTTGAAAGAGGTCATCCCAGTAGACCGGCATCCCACAAGACCGAGCAGGCGTTCTTATAGGCCTACCTTAGAAAATATTGAAAAGACGAAAAAGATCGACGTTGCACGGAAGCTACAAAACATGCCTTGACATACTTAAGGGAAGATTGAAAAATGTTGGTCTCATGGGCTGTCGGTCTCGTGGGTCGTCGTTTCACTGAACCCTCTGAGAAGGGCCCATGGGGTCCAAGAGACCGAATCATTGGACTTGTCGATAGCATGGGTTGTTGGTGTATAGTAAACCAACAAATGTCACAAGGTCCGCGAGACCAACACGGTCATTCCAGTAGGCTGTCGGTCTGGTGGGATGTAGTCCTGAAGGATGTGAGTAAGAGCGTCTAACATTCCAATTCCCTCTGATTCCTTCCCCTTTGGTAACTATAGCAACAACTTCTCCTTGTTATCTTCCAAATCATCTGTTTTATTGGTACTTCACAACAAGATATAAAGACAGTCTCAAAACGTGAGAGAAATCAGCAGGATATCACTTGAAGACAACAGAGATCCTTCAACAGAAATCTTTAAAGATGAGGAAAATGATGCTAAATTGAATTAGGTGACCCTCGCCCTTTCGCATCTCTTCTTCAATTCGTTGAAAGTACATCGCCAGACCACAACTGAAAAGCCCTAGTGGCAGACTTTCGATGGGTTTAGACACAACTCAAGTAAATCTTGAACTGACGTATATTGGATCCCACTGTGTACAGCAAGATGGACTATAGATGGATTCATCACAACACTTTCGAAAGTAGTATAACGTTACATGAAATGGTTGAATTCCATTTTCCCCTTTTCACCCATGCTTTTAAAAATGCTTATGTTAATACTATGAAGCAATGGAAACAGCGATCGCACAATTTATCGGCTGTATTAGTACGGGCTCTTTTATTACAATTCTGTGAAGCGAGCGAAAAACTTGATATTTTGAATGCATAGCGTTATCTTATTTCGTTATTCGGCAAGATGTGAAGAGTAAAAAGATAGTTTTCCGTAGCTCGAATATAAAGTAATGTTTGCCCGATTACTACTGGTAAATTCCAGGGGATTGCTGCACCTCCTCCCCACCCCATCCCCAACTATGCAGAAATATCCTCTAGAAGAAGAATTATCAAACAAATGTGGGTCATATTCAAGACAACGAATTATAATACTGATTGAAAACAGACCCAGGATAATGATACAATCGTTCAGACAAAAATAGAAACGACAATATCTCAAGGAATCATGGACCTCCACTCTCCATAAAAAGATGAAGTATCAAAAAGCTCCATGCAGTGGCGTAGCGAGCGTCCAGCCACTAAGAGGGGCACTGCCACAAGAGGAGGGGCATTGCGGTCTTACTTACTAGCAAACGGGATGCAAATTTACACTGATAATGAGAGTGTTAGGGAAGGGAGTCAAAATGTCTTCTCTTTTCGTCCTTCCCCCCATCTCCTTTTTTTCTTTTCTTTCTATGTATCTTCGACATCCGATTGTGTCTGGGATAATACCCCACTGGTAACATGTAAAGCGTGAGGCAAGCAAGCCATCGAATCATCACTTGGTGTCACTTGGATTGACCTCTGTGTTATGATTACACATCGTTACCTCATTATGGGAATACCAGTCGGCCAGAGTAAAGAAGTCCCTCTGTAAGGGATAGGGGGCTCAATAATAAACACAGATGGCTACAGTTTTTCTTCCTGTAAACGAAATTGATTTGTCGACGTTTTGGGTATGCGCAATGATTTCGTCCGATTTGGCAAAACTTATATCTATTTTTTGTTTAAATCTTGAATATTTTAAACACTAATATCTATCGTTTGATAATGTTTAATTCTTGATTCAGAAGTATAATTAATGAGTTTGGGCGAATGGGTCTGTGATATTCGGAAAGGCGCAAATTAAATAATTACGTTCATTTGCATCCGGATAGGAACACATTTTGACTCATTTTTTCAAAAGAAATTTAGTCTCCATCGCTTTTGTTCATATTTGAACAGAACAGAAATATTGCAAAGGACTTTCCACGTCATATACTTCTTTTGGCGGGAAAGTAGTAAGTCTTTTTTTGAATGATAATCTTCCTATAAAGTATTAAAGACAAATCTTTTCACAAACATTATAAATTATATTCATTTTCACCAGATCTGTGTAAAGACGTGAAATGCAAGAAGCCCCGAGGTTCCTGGTGTCAGGTGGTCGAGGTGGACGGTAGCCCTAAAGCAACCTGTGTTTGCCCCAAGACCTGCCCAGGTGACCAAGGCAGTCCCGTCTGCAGTGTGTTCGGAAAGCAGTATGACAGCGCATGTGAGCTCCACAAATACGCGTGCAAGAGGAGGAAGACTATTCCCATGGCCTTCGACAAGCCTTGTATTGGTGAGTAAGGATTCGAACCTGTGAGATGTCTATAGGGGCGTTCTTGCATAGGCTGATCCACGATTACCTATTTAAAAAATATAAAAAAATAAAAAATAAAATCAGGGGCTCTTTTTTGTGTACCTACTATAAGTAGAGGTGTCGTGGTCGAGTGGATATGTCATTAGACTGTGGGTAACAAGGTCCGCGGTTCAAATCCCGCCACGGCACTAATGTCGTTTGACAAGACATTGATCTTCGTTTGCCACTCTCCACCCAGGTGGAAAATGGGTACCCGGTAGGATGCGAAAGTTAATGTGTTTGGATTAGCAAGTGACGCTTGTAAAATTACTACTATAAGCCTATGAGGTTTACATAAAGTACACTGGGGCGTTCTGACAGCGAATTTATATTATTATTTAAATTGCAATAAAAAGTGCAAAAATGGGGATATATAAGGGGAATTTCTTGTTGTAGTATAGTTGATGCATGCCAGATAAGTTTTGGAAAGGGGCACAGCCTGTTTTCCCTCCCCCTTTCATCTTCATTTTGCCTTTCTTTCCTCCCCTTTTATTTTCACAGTTCGATCGGCGGGGGGAGGGGGGGGGGGGCACGTGCTTCCCAGTATCCTTTTACTTTCATCAAGTCTGAAAGTTAATTCAGAAAGGAAATAATACGTAGTCTGACCAATATTTGGTAAAAGACATTGTCTTCTTGTGTGCTTAAGTTGCCTAATCCATCATCTTTTCGTCTTTAGATTGGCAACGCCGTTTTCTTTTTCATCGACACACATTTTACTTGAAAATCATGTATCCAAAACAAAAAACATAAACGGAAAGTTAGACGAAGTGTCGGAATAATTTGCCGGCGAATTACAGTATTTATTATCTTTCTCTCTCCCCACCCCCCCCCCCCGTTTAAAAAAATACTTTCTGCGCAATTTCAATGCCCCATTGTACTGCCTGAGCAAATCATGTTCTGACTATGTAACATGTCATTGTCATGTTCGCATATTTCAATAGATGACGCATAAGGCTATTGAAATTACCTTTTTTTATTCGATTTCTCGAAGGTCTGTGCGATCGTGTTATCTTTGTTGTTGTTTTTTCCTCCCTGTTACAGCCTCACAGAAAGCTTGTACGACGGATGAATTTCTGCAGTTCCCGTCCCGTCTCCTCGAATGGTTCATGCATCTGAAGGAGAAGAACGAGTTTGGAAGGATAGATCCTAACAGGCGCATTACATTGGTCGATAATGCTTTAAGGATGCAGGTTGCTATGGTAAGACACGAGTAACCTTTCTCGATTTAGTGGAATCTCTTTTATTTATTAATGACCTTTGTCAAGACATTGATCTACATTTGCCACACTCCACCTAGGTAAAGTAAATGGGGACCGGTAGGAAGGAATTCCTTGAATGCTTTGAGCACCGAAATCAGGAGCCTAGCAGAGCTGGGGTAATATTGGAGCGCTTTGAGCACCTTGCAGGGTGGATATGTGCGCTATATAAATATCCAATATTATTATTATTATTATTAAAAAGACTGCTCACAATAAAAAAATCAGGCAATGAACTTGGAGGTGTGAGTTGGTCTATAGCGGTAATTATTGTCCGTGATACGGTCAGCTCTCTGTCTTCGACTACAAACTTACTCTGATCCGACCCAGATTCACAACTGGGGTATAAGGGATTCCAGAGGGAACCTTGGGGGTTCAATCCCCCCTCCACGTTTTTTCGGCTAACTCCTTTATCCAATACCCTACCCGCACCAACTATTATATTTTCTACTATACTATTATCACTCGTTCGTTCGTTCGTGCAAAGAATATCAGGGAGTACTATTATCACTACTACTAATGAAAACAATAGTAGTAATAGTAATAATAGTAATAACAAGAAGGAGAATCGTAATGATGATGATGATGATGACGATGATGATGATGATGATGATGGTGATGATGATGAAGACGGTGATGATGATGATGGTGATGGTGATGATGACGATGATGATGACGACGACGATGATGATGATGATGACGACGATGATGATGATAATAAGTCAATATTTCTCCTTGCTTCGCCCTAACAGTGGAAGTTCGACTCTCTGGATAGGAACAACGATAGGGAGTTGGACAAGGCTGAACTGCTGAAGTTCCGCTACTCTCTGATGCCTCTGGAGCACTGTGCTGCTCCCTTCTTCACCCGATGCGCCAAGAGAATACAAGGAACAGACACGAAGAAGATTAGCGTAGCTGAATGGTCAGGTTGTCTAAATGTACGTATCAATCAAACCGTAACCTGGTTGGGGGCTAGTGAAAACCAGTTCTTACGCTTTAACCATCCATATCTTAACGAAGTTACATATGAGGCGTAATTTGCCTGAAGTAAAAAGGTGTAATTGACGCCATTTTATAGGAACATCGTGAAAACCCTTTCTCACGCTTTAAGCATCCATATATCTTAACCAAGTTGCATGTTAGACGTAAATTGCCTGACGTAGAACGGCTTTATTGACGCCATGTTATCGATAGGAACATCGTGTAAGTTATTGCAAAAGTTTTGCACATTTGATAATGAAAACTAAGCTTTAAATCACCGTTCTATAGTTGCATTGGCAGACTTTATTAGCGCAAGTAATGATGCAATGGTATAATGACGCCTCCTGCATTGGGTATTATAAACCATGCTGGCAGGAGCGTTACAAGCATGAGTAGGCTAGGTGTATGGCCACGTGATGATCACAGTTTAAGCTACGGTCACAAAGGCTCTTACGAACGATGCGTTCGTACGAATCTCCCTGTTTTCCATTGTCTTCCCGAATTTCCATTGTCTGAAAATCGTTCGTACGGCCTTCGTAGCAGTTCGTAATGGTATATGTGACCGAGGCTTTAAAGATAAATTCTGGGCACATTTGGATTTTAGACATTAAATAATTGGATGACAATTTTGGCAAATTCAGAAATCGAAGGGTATTTTGATTATTTCAGTTTGGGAATTTTCGGCTAGACTGCATCAATAAACTTTCCCTACTCAGAATTGTCTAATATCTCCCCGTATGGTCCTGATTTTTCCACATCTTAACGCCTATAAAGTGCCACCTATCCGATAATGCAAGTTAAAATATGGAGTTATGAATACATTTACTAGCCTACTTCTTGTAAAGGGGCCAAGTAGTTGGGGGTACACGTCATTTCTAAGGAGACAAATGAGCTGGAATTGTGGGAGAATGAAGTGGGTTGATGCTCCTAGATAACTCTGTCGGACAATCTTAGAGGAATTGATTTTAATCGCTTTCTGAGTAAGATCATGAGAAGGGACACTCGGATGATTCACTTTGTGACAAATTTGACGAAACTATTACTAATGTTGTGACAAAGTTTGCCAATTTAGAATGAAGGATTACTATTTTTTGTTCAACTGTACACAGGTACAAATATCAATAATTAAAGTATGGGTCAATCTTACCTAGAATGCTCACAATCTGATGCAAGGTATCCTCTGGTCTTATCATCGATGATACCCAGACATGGGGAGAGGAATGAAGCTCCAATAAGTATCACTAATGCTACGCAGAGCTCTATTCACTTACTAGAATTATGTACCACGTATAATATTGTTGTAATTTGTGGGTGAACATTACTTTCTATTTTTGTTACGCGCTTATTTTTTTTTTAAACGCCAGTTGTTTACGAAAGTGACCCGGGATTTAAGTCTAAGCAATAAGGGAGATTACAGATAGCACATGGTACAAATGACCCCAAATATCCACAGATCTTTTACACATGGAGAAGTTCCACTTTGAGCATCTTAGAATAATAACTGCCAAAGTCCTAGATGTGCTTCATGAATACCTTTTGTTTGTCCTCTTGAAAAGAATACTTCCACCTGCGTATCATAGAATGTACCGTTGGTGCATAAATGAATAATGTTATAACTTTCATGAGCGCATATCCAGTATTCATTTCTGTGGGTTTTACCATTTTTACCTTTATCTGCCCATGCACAGATTGTATCTATGAACTGGCTTATTTCAATAGCATTGTCCGTCATGTTTTAAAATGTGCGAACATGACTATGTAATCCAAACATGACAATGTAATCCAAACATAATTTCAATGGAATGTAAAATGGGGTAGTGAATTTACCCTTGAGTTGGTTTCAAGACAGTTAATGAGGGTTAAAGGTAAAGACCAGTTATGGTCATGCGATTGCATTGTGAAAGAAATGTTGTGGAATCGATCAGAAAAGGTTGATCATCTAGCATCTAGCATCTGCAAGGTTCTGGAATCATCAAAATGATAAGAAATTTGGCCCATTCTTTGTAAAGTTACAAGCACTATACACAGAAAGATATATATGGGACTACCCTATCTCTCACGGTCCATGAGAGAAACAAATTTACCAAATATATGAATTAGTAGGCGGTTTCCCGGCAAATTTTTTATCATCATGTATTAGTCAAAACATATTCTTTCACATGATTGGTAATGAGAGCTTCCATTTCATTTTTTGAAATTGGTGCGTTTCCAATACTGGTCTTTACCTTTAATAATATTTAATGCTTCCTTCTGCATTGCCCAGGTTAATATTGGTCCAGCACCAGAGTCCGAGGCGGAACCAGCTCAGAACCAAGAGGAACCCGTGGTCGAAGAGGAGGAGGAGGACGTTGAGGAAGAAGAGGAAGACGATGCACCAGGTTTGTAACCTCCTAGAACAATTATCCCAAACATCATCCAATAGTAATAGTGTCCAGGAAGGCCATTCCCGGACACTTACCCCCTACTTGAATAATAATTTTTAGCTTTTATATAGCGCTTAATACAAATGTCTCTGAGTCATTGGATTCAGTGCTTGCCCGCACAAACTGTGTGTACAATCTCCACTCCCTGGGGAGCATTCCAGCCAGGCGTACTTGACGCTCAAAAACTGTTTGACCAACAATGACGGTCGCATCCTACCGGGTACCCATTTAACACCTGGGTGGAGAGTAGCAAGTGCAGGTTAATATCTTGCCAAAGGATATTAGCGCCTTAAACCACTCGACCACGACAATATCCTTTTAGGAAGTGGTCTTCGGGTTATAAATTGGTTATATATTAAGGTTGTATTTGACCAGGGGGCTATTGTCCTTTATTGGAGTTGGTCGTTTTGGGAGAATGGTTGTCTGGGATTATTTGGCGGGGAGGTATTGGTCAGAGGATGATTTTCCTTTAGGATAGTTGTCCATGGTGTTAGCCTAGATGTAGGGGTCTTAAAAGGTACATGGAAACCAAAGACAGATGGGAGGGGATACTAAATTGGAAAGACAAGGAATAACGCCAGCCGATAAAATGCTCTACTGCGAGTTAACACAACATTGCAGTTTCACAAGGAATTTTGAGCTCATCACGAACGTAGTACGATATTATACTGGAAGGGCTTTAAATCTTCCAATATCTTCTAAGATCGTGAATATCGAAAATCAAGACTTCAAGGAAGTGCTGAGCTCTGTACGAACTTACCATTATTTTACTGGAGCTTCAGACCATATTTCTTTTAGTTTGAGATCGTAGACATTGGCTAGTGGCAAGATAGGGTTGTTACGGAGAGATATCCTTATAAGCAGATTTAACAAGTGCAGTTAATCTGCTTCGAATGAAATAAAAACAAGCAAAAACAATAAATCAATAAATGAATTATCTGGAGGTATGTTGAAGTTTTTTTTTTTTTTTTCATAGGTTTTTATTCCTTTCTCTCAAAGAAAAATTGTACATTCATAACATTGGATACAAAATAACAAAATAATTTAACATAGGTCTTTATACATTTACCAATGATCTTTTACATTTATATACAAAAGTTACACCTCTTCATTTTCCTTTGGAGACAAAAAAAAACTATTTAAATATAAAAAGAGAAAAAGCTACAAAACACCTACTACCCCCCCCCCCACCCACACAACATTTAAACACATAACAAGTACAACAGTATACAAAACACACACTAACACACACAATAAAAGATGGTAGAGATGCAAAAGAAATAGAAAGATCGATTGCAACAAAATTATTTTGGATTTATGTTGAAATGTTTTGAAGGAGCCTTTTGAGGAATTTATCGTACTTCTCTTTGTCTTATTATCTTTCCCCTTCTCTCTCTCTCTCTCTCTGTGATTATTTCTCTTCTTTCCATTCTTTTTTCATCTCTTTCTCTCCTTCTAGAAGCTGTATAAGCTCTTTTTTAGAAACCCACAACCAACTCATTTTAAAGTGAATTTCATGACAAACCCAGCCAGAAGATTCAGAACTGTTTGACGACATCCTGCGACATTACCACGATAAAACCCAAGACGTTAATAAAATTAATGAGTTTCTTTTTCTTATCTTTTTTATACTTGAATGAAGTTAATACTCCATCTTGGGGGCATTGGGATGTATCATAATTTTGGAAATCAACTCAATAAATTATACTCAAGACTCGTTACTTTTGTAATGTTTATATGTTAATGGCATCAACATCAGATCTTAGGGACCTTTTCGTCACGAATAATTTGCCAATTTTAAGTCAAAACAGAAGATATAGACAATATATTTCTTCACCGCCATCATGATTATCATCTAGACATAGTCCTGGTAGACAGACAGCCCGTGGTACCGGCAATGTCGGGCTGATGAACCCTTAGAAATGGTGTCTGAAGACCCGCAAGTCCAACATTGTCGGTCTAGTAGGCTGAATCCATTAGTATAAGTATAGCCCTGAGCATAATTATTGTATTTTTATCAAATGAGAAAAAAAAAGAATAGACACCTATTAGTCCCGGTGATCAGTTTTGCCTATGAATGTATTTTTGACATTGATTTCATTACATCCAATCTCAGATATGTATTTAGAACATTCTCGAAATTTTGCCTTAAGTAATGACCTAAAATTCTAAACTATGTATAAACTATCATAAGAAGCAGGCAGATTTGCTCACTTGTGAGGTCTAATCTTTAGAATTTTTTGTTTTCAATCCGTAATTTGTTAAGCAGTACTTACTACAGGGCTTGTATAGAAAAGACGTTAGATTATGCTACTCATGAGAAGAAGAAAAATGTGTGTTTATTTATAAGTGCATGTATTTATAGTAAGTTAATTTTCATCAGTTTTCAAAAAGGATATTTAGAATATTGCTGCCACTTATGTAAATGTTTCATTTTTTTCTCCCTGCTAATTTAATCGATGATAAAGTGCCTGATTAGTGAACCGAATAATCCTTACTTGTTTTATATATTTACATCTCAAAGAGAGATGGTTAATCACGAACTGATGAATCCTAAACCGTTCTGAAGTGCGACATTGTAAATATACGATCCTGTCATGTTTGTAATACTGACTTAAAACCTCCTGCTAATGAGCCCATTTTATTGTTATATAGTCCGTACGTGTACAGTTTAAACAGAGAGGTGAAAGAATGGAGTGGAATCAAGCCGCTTTCCTTTGACCCCATGCTCCAAGCCGCCGAAAATTTATGCGCTAATCTGCAACTGTTGACCAGGTGGTGAGATAAAAGAGCGCATGAAATGTCAGGATTTAGAATTCCTACATCAGAAAATGGTATCCCAGCAACTGCTCGCTGTCCCTTTCAGTGATTTCTCATCAATTGTTGAATGTGTAATGAGTAGAGCAAGCGAACACAAACTTGTGTAATTTCATCCTTTTTTCCAACTGCAAAATTACAACAACAACAAAAAACACGCGAAAGCACGCATTAGCAAACCTAAAGTTATCGAATATTGTAAATCATGGATCAAATAACGGGACATTAAAATATGCACAAATTAGCGCATTATACTAAAATATTGATTTTTGGTCAGGATCTATTTTTTCTTTTACCAACTCTGGCACACAAATTATTGGAAGGGCGGAGTACTAAATTTGAAAAATTGTTTGATGTACTATTCCCAATACAATCCCCATATAAAGTTTATGATTTACACTGAAATTTTGCCGGTAATTTAATATTTTGTAATAAATGTGAAAATGGTGCCTGGCCTCCGAAATTCCCCGTAGTAGAAGCGCGGCTCGAATGCGTTTGAATAAATTACAATCGTTTCCACTCCTTTCTTTCACCTCCCTGGTTTAACTATTAAGATTTTTTTTTTTGTCTTTTTGTATCATTAAAATTTCATCTGAAGCTTTCCTTTCAATCAATGCGAAGAACCTGGCTACCCCTAGCTACTAACAATGATCCTTAGAAAATAAGCTTTCGTTATTTTAGGAATTTTCCCATTCTGAAACGTTATTGTATCCATATCTAGGTTAAGCAGACATATACTAAAATAATTATAAGTCAGCTGCTTAATAGCTCTTGAATTTATTGATGACAGTGCTGTGCATTTTTGTGAGTATAGAGTAGTGTGTCTTTTAATGTTTAGTAATAAAAACGAAAACCATCGCGAAAACTCTACTAGCTTTCTTACAAAAGTAACAAATCTGAATCAATTATTTTGTTCTTGTTGTTGTTGTTGTTTTGGGGGTTTCCACACATTTACTTCATGTTGTGGCACTCTCACTTTGAAAGATAATGATGGTGATAATGATGATGATGATGATGAAAATGGTGTTAATGATGATAATGGTGATAATGATGATAATGGTGATAATGATGAATAGTGGTGTTAATGATGACAATGATGATAATGGTGTAAATGATGATAATGATGATAATGATGATAACGATGATAATGATAATGGTGTAAATGATGATAATGGTGATAATGGTGATAATGGTGATAATCCAGTGATAATATGAATTCCAAAAATGAAGATGAACGTAACAAATACTAGACGTCGATCATCGTAAATTCAAATATTCAAAATACTGGAAATGTAGAAGAGCTATGTCCTTGCTATATACTTCACATGACTTATTCCACATTATTCTCTACACAACAGGACCAAGAATTATAATAGCTTTATTACGACTTGACAAAGAAATAAGAAAATGACAACCATTTATTACAAATATATAATAGTCAGTACATGATAATTGTTCCCGTTTTGGAGTTATTCAACAGGGATTTTGATCATATAAATATCGTTCGAATATCTGTCAGGCCGACATCTCGATCTAGATACATAGTCTTTCTTTATATACATAAATAACTTATATTACACTCTGCTATCAAACCGCTTAATTTGATACCTCATAATTTTATGGAAAGTATAATTTTGTACAGCTCAATCGTAGTATGTCACAGTCAGTAAACAAAAAAACATTACCACCGTAAGGGGTAGTCTTTCAATAATAAAACATGAAGTACTTATTTCATGTTCCTCCCACCTTCTAACTTTTAATATTTTATAAATCATCCTTTTACAGGTGATTTTAATTTACGGCCATGATTTCCCGTTGCTTTAGTGAACATTTAAATTCAAATGATACAAAGGAAAAAAAACTAGTTAACATAGCAGAGTATATAAATTGTGTATGTAAAATTCAGATAAAGGCGTCGAAAAGGTTTTACACATTTATATAGCTGAATCCATCTTTTGTATCGTATCCTTTGCTTAGATCTTCTGAGAAGAAGAAGATCAAGTACATTTACTTATTATGCTCTAAGCTTACACCCTTTGGGCTACATCAGACGGTTGAACCCATTGCCGTTGAAAAAAGAAAGTTTGGCCAACCCGGTTCGAGTTGGGCACAATGGCGAATACTGCTATGTTGGACAAGCACAAAATAAAATGATACACGCCATGCTGTGACCAACTGAAACAAAGTGGGCCGTTTATGTCGCTAATAAGGCAGCCGAATATGCGCAGCGCTGGTAGTTTAAGTTGCGAATATTTTTAGGCGCTAGGAGATCACGGGCCATTCCTTGACCCCATTTGTGAGAAACATCCATCGCACTTCAATCATAAGAGCGACATAGTACGTGCTTTACATTCATATTGTAATTTGTTTTATCCCGATTATCTCGGAAATTCGTCATATCCTCCATAAACTCCATAAATTTTCATGAATCATCTCGTTTTTATCAATACGATGAAGCCGACAGGAAAGGGACATTCCTAAAAAACACGGTATAGAGAATCAGTTGAAAGTTGTATGCCTATATATTATGCAGCTGCATTACACTAAAAATAAGGCAGGCGTGGAGAGCGAGGACGCTGAGCGCATCCTTCGAACCACGTGACCCGTCATCGGTGACCATCGTCATCATCCCATCATCCGGTGTTGGGTCAGGTGATACGACCATGGCCATCTCTTCTTCGCATTTCAACCACCGGGTCGAGCGTCTCGGATAATCGGCTGCGACTTGGAAGTTGTTGTCGTCGAACCGGCGGTACTCGCCATCCGTGAAAAAATAGGTTAGTTTGTTCTCGAACTGGAATGCTGCGTCGAGTTTGGTTCCGATTCCGTTCCAGACGGATAGCGATTTCGGATATCCAGGATCGACCGAAGAGGAAAGGAAGTTGTAACGCCAATAGTTCGAACCTGAACAAGTAAGAAACAAACAATTAACTAAAAGTTTAAAGGTGACACCGACGAAATGAAGACTTAGGTATTCTTGGTTTACCGGTGGTAGCTAGAAGACAGGCTTATCTTGTAAAGGAGCTTGGGGTTACTGTCACATTAGTGACCTTTATCACCTTTCTCCTATTGTTTATTTAGAACCTGACTCCATAATCATGTACCAGATGGAATTCTCTTTATAGGGGGTGGGGGGGGGGGGGGGGGGGACTCCCCGATAATCCAGAATCCACCCCTGAGTCGAGAATCTAAAGAGCGATTTAAAGTCTTCCAGGGCCCAATCCTCAGGCATCCAATGCCTCTATCCCCGCTAAGCTTCATTTGTTTTCCTCACACTGCGCTCGCAATCATCAGTTCATCTTTTCATATCCAAATATTCATAAACATTGTAAGGGTCTTAACGATTTTAATGGTTTGTTTATATCAATTAATTCAAGACGACCAGTTCATGAACAATACGAATCGAACTCTAACTTGACCTGAACACACCCACATGCACACAGTTGAAATTTTCTTTTCTTTCTTTACTTTCTTCGTACTTTTTATTTAGAAACTTTCTGAATTTTTTTTTTTTATACGTGACACTCTATTCTCCAGTACATATTCATATAACAGCGTCTTGTACCCACCCCTCTTTCCCGGCTGCTATCGACTCAAGCATTCATGCTTATGATAGTTGGCCTTTGAATTTATCTTGATTCCTTAACTTACCCGCATACTTTCAAGTTTTCAATTATATATATGCATTTCATGTGTATGCATCTCAGTTGTCACTTTTACGTAAATCAATTATATTACATACTATTATTGTTATTTCAAATGTTGCATTTGATTTTTCAATAAATGCAGAAACATCTGCTTAAAAAACAATCTTCATGATGACTGCAGAGCCCTTTGAAGATTACTAGAAGAAGAAGAAGTTACTCACCTTTGACAAAATAAGTCATTCCATTTCCACTCCACACAAAGACAGAATCTAGGTCATCGGGTATCCCACCACCCCATCCAACTCGGATACTTCTCGGATATCCTCGGTCCATTTGTAAATCCGCAAACCTCCAATAATTTGATCCCTAATAGTACACATAATGAAAAAGGTAGGTGATTACTTTCTGGTAGATTTTGTATCCGAAGGGTGCTCTACTACACAGGCACGGATCCAGGGGTGGCCGAGTGGGCCTTGCACCCCCCCCTCCCTCGCCAAAAAAAGAGAAGGAGAGAGAATGAAAAGAAGGGAAGGGGAAAGAGGAGATAAAGGGAAAGAAAGAAGAAGAAGAAGAAGAAAAGAAAAAGAGAAAACGAAGGAGATCGGGGTGCCGAAATGGCCTTGCCTCCCCCTCCCTCACCCCCCCCCCCCCCCAGCAAAAAAAAAAGAGAGAGAAGGGAGGAAAGGGAAAGAGAAAAAGGAGATAAAGGGAAGAATAAAAAGAGGAAGACGAAAAGAAGGGTCATATCAGTTGCGATTTTCCCTCCAACAAGACAGTTGTGAATCGGGGGGGGGGGGGGGGCGAAAGCCAACCAATATTGTTTTAATCATGTCAAAACACAACTTGTAATCATATTTTAGTTATCATTTTACAAGTCAATAAAGTCTACTTTTTAAAACCTAATACCGAGCCTGACATCTTTATTATCACGTACGACATCGGACAATGACTTGTTTGCACACATAACGGCTGATCCTATTGAAAATGGTTATTGATTTCCAGTATTTGCAGACAAATAACTATTTGATATGATCGCCGAGGTATGATAAGCCATTACGGCTTCAGCAAGAGCCGACGTACATGTAGGCCTATGCTGATAAGGAAGGGGGAAAACTCCCCATCCTTACACCCCCCCCCCCCCCTAGCGCACTATGTAAACGATTACGCGGTTGGGGAGTTAGCGTACATGTCCATGATTGACACCCACAGAAACTAACTTTATTCATTACCGAACAAAACATGAAGAAGTAGCACCTCGACACCATAGGTATAAATATACATTTTCTTTCGGAATTTAGAAACTTTAGCCATTATAAAAATCTCAGACTGTTTTTCCGGCGGGAGTGAAAGCCTGGTGAAAGCCCTCCCCTTCCAAAGTTATGAACTAGATGTGGGTGTTATGTTTCGATATGACAGGCGTGGGATATCCTTTTGCGCCCCTTTCGCACCCCCCCCCCCCCCCGCCCTACGAGACCAAGCGCCAGATAATTATGTCACTGGTCAACATTTTGCGTAGTACCAATATGGTTCGCATGATTTCAAATTTGGCCCCCCCCCCTAAGAAATCCTGGATCCGCGCCTGTTACTACACGCCTGTTATCAATCCAGATAGACCGAACCCAGTTATACCGACGAGACCAACAGTAGGCCGACAACATACTAAACCACAAATTATATCACCTAGAACTCTTTTTAATGAAACGTTTTATGACACAACAATGAATTATGTGAGTTTTACAAAAAGATGACAATTTGTATCGAAAATAATATTTAACATGTCCTAGTGGTTTTTTGAAGAAAATTAATTGACTCGTCAAGAAAATACGAAAATATTTTTTTTAAGTGGAATTAAAGGCTACATTACAAGACATTTCAGCAACATACCTTGAAGAAGTAAGTCTTTCCAGTTTTCTCGTAGTAAAAAGCCGCATCAAGATTTGTCGGTAGACCTCGGAAGATGTTTGATATGGGTTTTGGCTCTGATACCAACCCGAAAAGGTCCACCAAAAATGCATGAGTGTCTGTATGACAGAGAAGATTTAATAATAATAGCAATAAAAAAGATGATAATAAATTTTACTTACATAAGGAAACCACATCAGCATCAATGCTGTTCTTCATGAGGGCCCTGCAATTATTATTACCCTAGCAATTGCCAGGTACCCATTTACATCTGGGCAGAGAGTGGCAAAGTGTTGATTAATTTCTTGCCAAAGGACGTTATTACCTACCAGGGACTCGAACCCTCAGTCCTTGGATTGAGAGTCAAGTGAATGATTATACCAATCTACGTTGTATGATGAATTGAATTTAATTGAATTTATTCACCACTTTCATAAAAAAAATACAAAGGCAAAGAATACAATAGTTTCTTGCAAACATAGATAAACCAATGGAACTAATGGAAAATACACTAAAGGAAATTACGAAGTGGTTGGATCATCAAAAAAGTTACACAAACTTATAAGTAGATGATCCTAAAAATGTACACACAAAAAAATCCAAAAGGGGGACAATGAAAATACAATACTACAATGGTAATTGCACACACAAAAATTGCGTTTGTCAAATTCAAATTTGCTGTATCAGGTGAAGTTTTAAAAGATGCTTAAAACTGTTTAAAGATGCACACTGTTTAAGTTAAGGGGGTAGTTTGTCCCAAATAGTGGTTCCTTGGCATAAAAAGATACTATTTGAAAATGAAGAAATGAAGCGCTTTAAAATCTTTCAGTTTCATTAGATCAATCGCAATTGCAGTTGCCTTAGTATTTCAAAGGAGTCATAATTAAGTGTCTTTCATCGTTTCGATTTTCTCTCTCTCTCTCTCTCTCTCTCTCTCTCTCTCTCTCTCTATTCTCCCTTTTCTGAGTCTACCCCCCCCCTTTCGATGATTCCCCCACCCCTGTGGGGCTACGTCACCCTAATATTCTTACCATTAAAGATATACGATCCAGCCGTATGAGTTTGGGCAGCGGCTACGAAGTTAGCGACACAGCTTCCTCTCGCCTTAGGTCCCTCTGTTCCTTCCACCTCAGGCACACCAGAGTTTGCACCTAAAAATACAACAAATCATGGAAAATAATGACCATAAAATCGAATGAAATAAAAAGAGTCAATCACACCTAGCGAAATTTTGCCTTTAGCTCCAAGGATAATATAAACAAGTACACGGTACTAAAAAAATGGAGCAAAACAGTGCTAGCATGACTTAAACATTTGCTGTGCAGGCGGACGAGTTATCAGTACATATTTGTCTTCATTGGATTAATGAAACCCTTTAAATAATTGAGAAACTTTTCTTTTCTTCTTTGTAGTTGCCTTGGCTTATTTTTGTTGGTGGCGGGGAGGGGGGGGGGGCGGCTAGTTTGTTGGCTTTTTTTTTTTTGCTTTTTATTTGGTTGGTTGGTTGGTTATTTTGATGTTAGGGGTGTGATTAGTATAGGTTAACAAATAGTTACCGTAGAGGGCCTGAATCCCGGCGATGTCGTCTTCGCGCAGCTCTGCATTCGGCACGTAGCCACGGTAAATAGCGGCCATGATGGCATCCGGGTTATTGGAGTGGCCAAGACCGAGACTGTGACCAAATTCATGAACTGCTACTTGAAAGAGGTTAGTGCCTGTATATGTGGGAGGATATGATGAAAAATGAAACCAGTCTTCGTTTCCTCTGACTCTTTGACTTTCGTCGGTTATATACCGATAGAGGAAGTGAACTTGGAATATGACTTTGTATCACCTGCATGTAAGAAATAGTTAGAGGTCTCTCCAAAACTTTCCCTAAAGATTAGCATTAGGAGCTACAACATATCTCTCAAAATTGTTTTATTTAATATTGAATGAGAAAAACAAACAAACGTAGCAATGCATAGAAAGAGTATAATGCTGCTGACAAATTCTTCAAATTTGCTGATTATTGGACCTAGGTAATCATAATTTATGAACATTTACAAATTGAGCTATGAAGCACCATTATTGGTTTCAGTACAATCTTTACGCAAGAGTGAATGACTCTTGCTACTCATAGCCTGCCATAAGGCTGCATGCACGCTATCGCTATAGTGCTTTGTACATGCGAGAGAGCTATCGCTTGAGTGCCATGGTATAATAGCAGTTATTGTTCATGCTCATTGGACTGTGCTGTGTGTTTTGCACTCGCCATTCATATATAGAACCATCGCGTTAATCAGATTATCTCCAAAACAACCTGACACGGGGGGATTTGGGGCTTGGCACGATGGGGATTAGCTCTGTGGCATGATAAGAGTTAAAGGTAATATGTCCCAAAATCATGAAAAGGTTCAATTCCAACGGCACTTGAAAGAAAATACTAATTTAGAATTTCCCTCCAAACAAAAGGGCCTGAAAATGTCTTTTTTAGGAAAATAACGACCGTTAGTTGTCGAATCGAATTTAGCAATCGCGGTTGTTTAATTTAATAGTCTGATTTTCAGACCCTACGCAAAGATCTAATCAGTCTAATGTGGGCTATTATAAGAAGTGGGTTATTGATGCAAACAAATGCCCATGTACCCTTTACAGCTCCTTTTATGTATGATATTACCAAAGAAAAAAAGAGGCTAGTCAGACACTCAATAGTGTCTGACAGTGAAGTCCAGAAGTAAACGGGTTTCCTTGCATAATTTGAATGCTAGGACACTGCTAACGTTTAAATTTCACAGATAGGACATATACGTGACATAGGCATATAAATAATTCCTACAAAGTTCTACAGAATTTGATGTTGGCTGCAAAAGGGATACTATACCCTTAAAGGGAGGTTCTAATGCAACAAAAATACACGCATGACAAATCATTTGTACAACGCAATGTTCAGTTTGTATTTTGCATTCATTTTTGTAAGATATTTCTTTCTCACAAGGCGCGTAAAACGCAGCACCAGCCGCTTGACGGACTGACGTCATCAAACAATTAAATAACGCCTCGTGTGCAGCTCGTATCAAACCTGCTGCACACGATGCGTCAATTCTACTGTCGTAAGACTGCGTCAGCCCCACGTCATATTATTTGGCGCAGTGCAAACACTATGATGAATCACTAGCATATGCACGTATTACCTTCGTATCAAACCTGTTGCACACAAGGCGTCAATTTGACTGACGTAAGACTGCGTCAGCCCCATGTCATTATCTTTGACGTAGGGCAGACATTACGAGGAATCACTAGCGGGTGCACGTATTACCTTCGTAGGCTTTATTAGCGCAAGAATTAACGCAATCGAAATGACGCATCGTGTACCAGCGGTATCACGTTACTCACCGGCGTAAGAGTTGTCCGTATACGTTTCCGCTTCGTCGAAATGGGCGTCGCCAGCGATGCTATATCTGCGTTCGGAGGTGGGAAAGAAGGCATGCGCCAAGACCTTGCCTGAGCCGTCAAAGGGGTTGCCGTCACCGTGGTCGCGGCTAGTAAACTTCATGAGGAGGTCGGCATCGCCGGATTGGACCTCACGGAACGTCAGCTGAGACGCGTCAGACCAATGCTGAAGAGATAACAGAAATGAAGAGTGATAGAGAGAGAGAGAGAGGGGGGGGGGAGGAGAGAGAGAGGGAGAGAGAGAGAGAGAGAGAGAGAGATAAAGAGAGAAAGAGATGTTATATGATGCATTCAAAATTTTATGACAGTTTCATTGACTTTATAGTGTTTTTGTTTTGTTTTGTATTGACGATAAACGATGAATTACGTGACCCCATCTTCTGCTTCTCCCACTTCTTAATTATGACGTTCAGGACTTGACGTAACACTGTTCGGTATGAATATCCAGCATAAAACGCCCAATCATCATTAGATCACTTTCAACAGTAATATCTTTCTGGTACGTGATCAAGATTGGATTAAGAATATATCGAAAATCCTAAATACAGTCATGAAAGGATTATTATCGCATTTAACAATTTTAGCGAATATTCCTAGACATTCGATAGTCGGTTTATTATTATTTCATGATGGCTGTTAACCATTACACAATCTCGCTCGTTTCCTGGGCTAAAATAGGTTATAACAATTCGGGTCAAATGATTAGTTAAATACCAGATGGGAATCGTTTAGCTAGAATACGAAATGTGCCTTAATCCTAAACCTCAGTTAGTAACCATGTCTGCTTGGCCGACGCTGTGAGTATGTAGTAATATTCATCGTGGTTACCTAAGCCTCTAAGGCAAAATATCCGGATTATTGGTCAAAGGTTGTAGCTTGCGACAAATGCTCCAGTGACAACTGGTCCGAGGTGAACCACAACCATACCTAACCTTAATCCCAGGCATAACCCTCAACCGCACCCTTTAATTTTGTATGAAACATCACTGGAGTATTAATGTTATATTATCCTCATAGTCGGAATATTGGCCCCGTTGCGCAAAGATGAACGATGGATCGTAACGATGTTGTTTAAAGATTTAAAAAACTACTTCCAACATCAACAAAAAATACTAACAATAATTCAGAATAATGATCTTGAATTCAAGGAGTTGCCACAGTGGAAATGAAAGTGGGAGTGCCTATATATATATAAACCACTTCAAAAGCCATGGGAGACTGAGTAGATCTATCGAAAAGAAATAGAATTAAGAACCCGGATGTCATTGTTTTTGCATCAAATAACATCGTAACACGCAGGCCTATATACTTTTGATCCGTCCCTGCGTAAGAATGTTCTTTAAGAACTGGGTCATGATCGGAAATGAGTAAAAACCGACTGTTTTCAATGACTAATAACTCTTATTAACAGTCCTACGTTTAATATTAAGGAGAGTAGATAGTTCCGGTTAGACGATTGCTTTCGTAAAGGACTTTGATATGTGAATGATACTGTAAAATTAAAGATAAACTCCAGTTCTGGTAAAAAAAAAGAAAATTCATTCTCACAGAATCAAACGAAACTTACACTGAATGTTCAAGATTACAAATAAATGACATGTGCCAAACAATTTTGGAAGAAAATGTATACTGGCTGAGTAATGAGCATAGAAAGACAAGGAAATCGAGGTAGTACTAGCCCCGACACCATGTGTGTTGTCCCACATATAGCTTTCTGTGTTACTTTCCCAAGACTCGGTCAAGACTCGGTCAAATTTATTATGATTTTGATGACTCCAGAACCTTGCAGTGCACACCAATACTTACATGCTACTGATCAACTGTTTCTGATCCTTTCCACACCTTTTCTTTCACAATGCACTCGCATTACCAGTACTAAAGTTTATCTTTAAATTGAAGAAACTGAGAGAAACTAAGAATGATTAATAATACCAATCAGCTCTCAAGTTGGTTTCTGATAGATGAAATCACGTGGCGTGAAAACATTTAAAGGCGGGAAAAGATAAAAAGGTTTTACTAAATCTAAAGGAGAAAACAAGGACTACGAGAGGTGACTTTTTGGTTTGTTTCTTGTTTGTTGTTTTGCTTTGTACTCAAACTGATGGAACGACAATTTCTGTTTTCATAACTTTAGAGTAACAGGGTAAAACTCCGAATCTTTACAATACTTTTTTTTTTAATTGATGGTATATCTCTGTAAAGTTATCATTTAATGTAACCAAGGACAACCCATGTTTGTTTGTTTTTCTTTGTTCTCTCAATAATTTCGATACATCGATTTATCGATATATTCTTTACCTTCAAAGCTCTGGCGATGATTTCTCGTACACTGGACCTACGTAGGTCTGGTGTGGTGTTCTCCAATCTCCAAGTCAGATCGGTCTTGAACCATTTGACGTCGGATAGTGCGTAGCGTCGGGCTCGATTTATTGCTTGGGTACCGGTATTATCCGGTAAACCGCATCGGGGCATCTGCATCAAATCCTGCACTTCTGCAGTAAGTATTCCTGCAATGAACAGAAAAGTTCAGAATCTTAGAGGGACAAAAAATTCCTAAAGAGTTGTCACCGACAGAAGGTAGAGTAATGGAAGAAAATGATATAATCATACTTTGTGTCCTAGATAAACAACATGGAATTTTTTTAGCACAAAAGACGAGAAATGTAGACTGCTCTAAGAATACGCTTATCTCCCAGCCATATCTATATTTTTACATCACTAATCAGTGTTCGTGGTATCTGGTAATAATTAGTAAATTGTTATTATTATGATGCCCCCAATATGATTACAGTAATACTATGTGTATTTGAATTTCCATCTTAATATTTCAATCGGTTTATTTTACATTTTTACTCCTGCCATCAGAACTGAATATAAAAAAGTCATCTTCCCAGGCATTCTGATCGAATCGAATCGTAATAGAGAGTGTAGGCATTTGACGTAACTCAAGTCTAAACTATGAAGACGCTGATAATGATGATCAGTTCCTAGAGTTTTCTATAATTGTCATAATGTATTTGTTATCCCCGGAATCTACCCTGGGAAACCTTGGTGCGTGTTCCTGTGTCTTTTGTTTCGATGTCGTAAGACTCAAGTAACAAACGAAATATTTGTGACTATATCCACAACAACAAGACTTCTTGACCTCTAAACTTTACGAGATACTCTGTTTGACCTTTACATTTGTTTGAAGGGTAGTAAGGTACCTTATTCTGTTATGGAATGTACATCATGAAATAAAAAGCAAGAAGTTTTCCAACTACCAACTATCGTCAAAAGAAGCCGGTTATTTGGCTATTTTGTGGGGCGTTTAGAGGAATAATATTGATGAAAGTGAAAACGAAAATAAAAGAAATGAAAGAGGTGATAATGAATAAAGAATACAGACTTTAACATTTTTTTTCAGTGTTAAATGTTGGAATCTATATTATCTCGACACCTCTGTTCCTTTCTTGCTCTCTCTCTCTCTCTCTCTCTCTCTCTCTTTCTTTCTCTCTCTTTTTAACGATGCTATACTGGGTTTAAAAAACAAAACAAAACGAACAATCTGAGAAAAAAAAAACACCAACCTGTTTCATTGAGTCCATTCATCCTTTGAAATAACCGAATGGCATCGTTGAGGGAGTCTTGACTTCTAAGATGACCGGTAGACAGGTCATTTGATTCAAAATAGTTGAATTGTGATAGATAATTCTGTTTAAAAAGATCAGAAATTGTTCGCATTGATAAAACTAACCCATTTGACTTCAATGAATACTGGTGATTCACAGCAATTAACTGACAGCTGTTCTCATTTGGCTTCTATTATAGAATAAAAATAGGCCAAACACTGAATCAACAAATTGTTTTAAAGGTACTATGTCCAATTTGCAGGCCATAAAATGAAAAGGTTAAATTCCAACGGCATTTGAAAGATAATACTAATTTAGAACTTCCCTTTAAAAAAAAAGGGGGGTGGGCTCTTGAAAATGTCTTTACGTGGGAAAATAACGACTATTAGTTGTCGAATCGACTTAAGAGCTATAGTGCCAGGAAGTAATAGTCTGATTTTCAGACCATTGTACCGAATGGTCGGACGTTTTATGCTGCGCAAAGATTCAATCGGTTTTATTTTGGCCATTACAAGAAGTGTGTTATTGATGTAAATAAATGCTCATGTACCCTTTACAGCTCATGTTATGTATGTTATTTCCAAAGTCGAAAACATGTGTATGCACTATTAAACACAACACGAACAGTGCAAATATTCCTTTGTTTATTGGCGTATGCACTATTAAACACAACACGAACTGTGCAAATATTCCTTTGTTTATTGGCGTATGCACTATTAAACAAAACACGAACAGTGCAAATATTCCTTTGTTTATGGGCGTATGCGCTAATTAAACACAAAACGAACAGTGCAAATATTCCTTTGTTTATTGGCGTGTGCACTATTAAACACAACACGAACAGTGCAAATATTCCTTTGTTTATTGGCGTATGCACTATTAAACACCACACGAGCAGTGCAAATATTCCTTTGTTTATTGGCGTATGCACTATTAAACACAACACGAACAGTGCAAATATTCCTTTGTTTATGGGCGTATGCGCTAATTAAACACAAAACGAACAGTGCAAATATTCCTTTGTTTTATTGACGTATGCGCTAATTGCCTTTACAGGATTAAATGGCGCAATCGAAATGACATACCGCGTGAAGCAGACATTACTGTTTTGAAATGGAAATGCACATGGCATTCGTAAAAGTTGCTGTATTATTCTGTTGGTAACATTACATGATGTTAATTTCAAGATTTTAACTATAATAATTAATTTACGGATTCGATGTCGTCTTTCTTTAATTCCTGTTCAAACCAAAGTCACATCTCAAACTGAGAGTGAAAGCTATCGCTAGGTTTTTCGATATTCGATATAGCAGTAACGTACTTTAATACAATTGCGGTCGAAACTGACAACCATTTTACACTTATAAAACTTAGGCATTTATTATCCCCTCAGTAACACGTTCGACTCTTTGTGATAAATAAAGGGTAGCAGCTAATTGGTAGAGAACAGTTCACCCCATTATAAGACACTGAATATTGGCTACAGGCGTCTCAAACTCTTTGAAGACTTTTTTTTAATCTGAAAAGTTATTTGAACGCAATTGATATGAAGGCTAGTCAAAAGCGCTTGAAAAACTAAGGAGCTATAACTGTGAGTCTGTGATGACTCTATATGCAATAAGGAAGACATGCTTTCAACCAGTGGCGGATCCAGCAGGCGGAGAGAGGGGGGGGGGGGGGGGGGGGGCCCAATCCGTGAGAAAATATTAGTTGCGACTCAGCCACCGGTGAATAAGCGGGGGGGGGGGGGGGGGGGTAGGAGGCACTTTTTCTTTTGGTTGCGACTCCGCCACCGGTGAATAAGCGGAGGGAGGGGGTGGGTGAGATCACTATTTTTGTTTGTTTGGCCTAATTCCTGAGAATTTTTTTTAAAATAATTATTTTTGGATGTTGTTGACCCGGTAGCCCCCCCCCCCCGTGAATCCGCGCGATCAAGTCGGCGATAAGGGGGGGGGGGGGGGGGTCAAATCTAAATACAAAATTTAGCGCCGACTTAGCCGGCCGGCGAATAAGCGGGGGTGGGGGGGGGGCTTTGTTTTTGTTTTAAAAAGGTTAACTTTACGTTATTATCCTATATTTTTTATCGTTTTGGGGGTGGGGGGGGGGGGCGGGCCGGAAAAATCGCTATGTGGGTCCGCCCCTGCTTTCAACACTGACAACGATTTTTACAAAGAGTGTCAATTTTAATTTTACTAAACTGCTAGATGCAATTCAAACAAATCAAACTTACCAGTGCTTCGTTCGTTCCAAACGATTGAACACAAGCGATGCAGGTCATGGCATAAACGAGCGCAATTTTAACCTCCATTTTCCAGTCACTTTTTGAAGTTCTGCTTTCAACGAATCACAGTAAATTTGGCGACCATAAGTTATAATAACTTATTTAAAAAAAATGAAAGTCGTCAAACTACTTCTTAAAAACACTTTCCAGACAGGGGGCAAAAAAAAGCTCATATGCAAATAATAGTTGCATCCAGTTCAACTGAAAGTCCAAAACAATACTGCCTAGACACACTGAATGTTCGCGCGCTTATATAGTCGACGATTTCAGCCACCGTTGATGTGCAGACGACCCACGCACGACGAGTTTCACGCGAAGAAAAGAATGAGCTATTTCCCGCTGTGACTCGCAGATTGTGGGGGAGTGGTAAGTCACCGAAGAAGAAGATTTTGAAAGTGGAAGGATGACCCATGTTCCGATTTATTGATGATTCATCGGTGGTGTTTCCCTTTTACAATCAATCTTCTGGGAGTCGCTAGATTTAAATTTAATAATTCTGTCACCAAATTTGGTATTTTCAGAGCTCTGCGGGCAACCTAAAGATTATTTCTTTATATACCTGTAGTAAAATGTCACCTACCTTGTCGACGATTTTCTTCGGTTTCTTCTCCAAAACCCTCCTCTTCCCAATTTAAATTTACATTCAAAACACATTTTACTCGCAATGTTTGGAAGGGTTGATAGATATTAGACGAAATTCCTTTTTTTTGGTTTTGTTTTGTTTTTGTTTAGGGGGGATAGCCACGTAATTTTTAATCATAACATGAAATTCTAAAACTGATACAACTCGTATTAATGATACGTATGCTTAGGCATATGTTTTGTATTGTATTAGTACAAACGGATTCAAGTTTCCATGAAATAAATGATTTAAAACATAAAGCACAGAGGAGCATTAGCCTAACTTATTCAGAAAATAACAATTTAAAAAATATTGAAAGATCAAGAATAGGCCTACATAAGAAACATATCTCATACGGTCGATTTCTTCAAGTTTATTTTGGGGACTTAAGTGGCCAAGGGGTGTGAAATATGGTAGGCTATACATTGAATAGTTTACATATCTCTTTGTTTGCCGAATAAATGGATGGTCGCCAAATATTTATCTCCTGATAATTATATCTGTCAATTAATTTGTATTCATTATTTGAAGGGCAATTATTATTAATTGATCAATGTCTATATGTTTACGATAAATGCCTACATTCATGTTAGTCTCATATTTAGTGGTGTAGCTAAGGGGGGGGGGGCGGAGGCATTTTCCTCCTCCTCTTATCGAATCATGAACATCGGTTGGTGAAAAAAGGGGTCGAGAGAAAAAGGAGGGATGAAAAGTAAGAGGGGAGTGGACGAAAAACATATACTGCATCACACTCCGTTTAATGATTAGCCTTGTTAATTCACACATGCAGCATTCATCTTAAAAATATTTAAAAATATTATTATTATTATATATTATTATTATTATTTATTAGTATGATCGATGCCCCCTCCTCCACCCCCATGTAAGGGCCCTTCTATAGTTGGTCCCACGCTACGCCCTATTTTATTTGAAATATTACATACATTACGTACAAAAGAATTAATAGATAAGTCGTTTGATATTTAGAATAGATACCGTGTTACAAGTTGCAATGTATATATGTAGGTGAACAAAAAGCTCCATTATCATTTTCATTTTTCTATTTGTCTTTTTTACAAAATAATTTCATTATTTTATGTCAATTATGACTTTATAAGTATTTTGTACATACTTACATTGGAAGGGACAGAGACAGAGAGGGTGTGGCGAACAAGAGGGGGAGAGAGAGAGAGAGAGAGATAGAAAGAGGGAGAGAGAGAGAGAGAGCAAGAGAGAGAGACAGAAAGAGATAGAGACAGAAAGAGAGACATGAGGGAGAAAACGGGAGAGAGAGAGAGAGAGAGAAAGAAAGAAAGAGAGAAAGAAAGAGAAAGGGTGAGATACATTCGTTTGGTTAATCAAATTCACTATTTTATTGACAGCCTTCGTTTTGGGGTTTTTTTTTTCACATGAGAACTTGCTAGAATTCAGACTCCAAAAGGATTAGCATTTTCAAGTTTTGTGTTTCCCTTAAATAATGCAACATGTGAAACTGATCTAAACGGTTGTTTGGGGAAGGAAAAGAAAACTGTAGGAAGTCTAAGTTCATAGTGAAAGTGTAACCAAATTATGTGCAATGTGTTGTTGTATGTGAATAAGGAAATAAATGTATGTTATATGCAGAGAGTATAGTTGATTGAGAGGGAGAGATGATGAGAAAGAGGGGTGAGAGCGGGGGAGAGAGGAGAAGGAGAGAGAGAGAGAGAGAAGGGGAGAGAGAGAGAGAGAGAGAGAGGAGGGGGGGGGGGGGGGAGAGGGGGGAGGGGAGGGGTATATTTTTACATATGCCGATCCATGGCTGGGCCTAAACGGCCACACCCACTCTCATTGAAAAACAAATCAAGGACACAGTAATAATATCAGGGGAAAATAATACTTAATTTACACTTTTGGTTTTCCACTTTGTGTTTTAGATTCGTTTAAAGACAAATAAGAGAGTTATAAATATGTAGAATATGACATTATTATGGCTATGCTAATCTTATAGTGGATTTTATTTTATTTTTGTTAATGTAAAAGAAATCATGTTTTGTGTGGTTTTGAATAAAATGAACTTTCACTTTCACTTTTTCGTTTGTCGTGTTCACAATTAGTATCATTAATGTTTTTTTTTTCTTCGTTTGGTTAATCAAATTCACTATTTTATTGACAGCCTTCGTTTTTTGGGGTTTTTTTTCACATGAGAACTTGCTAGAATTCAGACTCCAAAAGGATTAGCATTTTCAAGTTTTGTGTTTCCCTTAAATAATGCAACATGTGAAACTGATCTAAACGGTTGTTTGGGGAAGGAAAAGAAAACTGTAGGAAGTCTAAGTTCATAGTGAAAGTGTAACCAAATTATGTGCAATGTGTTGTTGTATGTGAATAAAGAAATAAATGTATGTTATATGCAGAGAGTGTAGTTGATTGAGAGGGAGAGATGATGAGAAAGAGGGGTGAGAGCGGGGGAGAGAGGAGAAGGAGAGAGAGAGAGAGAAGGGGAGAGAGAGAGAGAGAGAGAAGAGAGAGAGAGAGAGAGAGAGGGGGGGGGGGGGGAGAGGGGGGAGGGGAGGGGTATATTTTTACATATGCCGATCCATGGCTGGGCCTAAACGGCCACACCCACTCTCATTGAAAAACAAATCAAGGACACAGTAATAATATCAGGGGAAAATAATACTTAATTTACACTTTTGGTTTTCCACTTTGTGTGTTAGATTCGTTTAAAGACAAACACATATAATCAGGTACTCATGAGATAAATCATAATAATTATCTTGGATTATATTCCTTTACACCTATTAACATAAGAAAACAGTGGTTAAATTTGGTAACATTATCGAATTAACGTCCATATTAGTCTGAATAAGGCGATACTAAACAGACAACTCCTTGTATTCTGTCATCTTTTGCCAACTGACAGATCTGCTAGCCAAATGTCAATATATGTACTAATTTTCCTTAACGTCACACTTGGCAAAGGGCATAACTCAAGAATATTCCTGTTTTATTTGAGAAGGTGTTATAAAGCCAGAACAAAATATGTATGTGTTAATCATACAATTTTAAAATTGATTGTGGCGAGTTTGTGAGGAGTTGATTCATAGAATCATAAATATTAAGTACATTGAGTATGTTATATCATGTTATGCAGTAAAACGCTTAATCATTTTCGTGAGAGTGTACTCTTCATGCCACTCTTTTCATCGAAGATTCTTATAGTCTGACATTCACTTGCAATCTAAGTTAACCACCGTTTTAACAGCTATCTCTCCCAGTGGCGTAACGGTGTGTGTGTGTGGGGGGGGGGGGGTGAGGGGAAGCGCACATGAGCTACCAAAGGCGGTAAAAGTAATATAGGCATGGGATGTGAAGGTTGTAGGTTCGAGACCCAAGCGCGGCACTAAAATATCCTTTAATTGAAAAGAATTTAGTCGAGATTATTTCGCCACTAGACCCATGTGTAGTGTGTAGGTAGGCCTATATCAAACTAACGTCATTTGTTTCCTGGAATGCACTTTGCACTGATGACGGTAGCCAGAGATAAAGCCAAATAAAGCTTTGCAAAGCTCTTTGCCATCAAATAGGGACATTATACCATCATTATAGTGGAATATTGTTTATTGCCATACTTCATTTTATTGAATTTAACAGAAAACATGTTTAAAAAAATTCAGTCCCAGGCTACTACTTGAATACACAGGACAGTACAATGTGGAAAAATAATACATATAATTATGCATTTACAAAAAGACAAATACAGAAATAACATACAATGAGATACGTGTAATGAACATGACACTGTGGAATCGCTACGTAAGTTCGAGCACTTGGAAAAATGACTCGAATATCATGTACTACAGTACTTCATAATTTTAATAATACATTGATACATGCAATCTTAAGTATCCATTAGTTCTAAAATATATATCTTTCTCAAAATTATTGATTTTGTAACGAGATATGCCTTGTGCCTACTATATTATGTGGATGTGTAACTGTCTTACGTTTCCATTTCCACAAATTGCATTGGCCTTATAGGTATTACCATATAAGCATACCACTTTCACCCGCTGACAAATAGCTTGTGTTAACTTTTCGTCATCACCCATCCTATTGTTTTACATGGACTCTTAGCGGGATACCAACCTACAAGAGTACAAACTGCACTATGATGTCACTTTGTTCATAGGGTAAATTTTTTTCTCCCTTTGTTCGAATATTATAGATATAAGATTTATCCTTGAAAGAGGTCGGGGGGGGGGTGTTTCATAAAACTGTTCGTAAAGTTACGCATGACTTTACGAATGAGTTAAACATGAAAAGCCAAATGGGGTGCTCAAATAATTTTGAAGTGCATCGACTAAAGTTGGACTGTGCAGATATAGATTAACATTCTTATTATAACAAACATTTTTAATGCAAGGTATATTTTTTGACATAATTCAATTGAGGTTATTGGAAATATATTCACACTTTGTTAAAACATCAGGGAAAAACTTTGGGCATTCTATCTGGCACTTCATATTCAAGTTGTTCGTAAAGTCATGCGTAACTTGCTTTATGAAACACCCCGGGGCACACACATCATTACAAATATCTAGGCGTAACGAGAAAGGTTCCGATTTTCCATC